CATTCATAGGGTGAGAGTCCCGGGAAAGTTACTGATATTATTTACTAGCATAAGCATGATGCTTGGGCTAAATACATGCCATTGGATGCGGGTGTGCCCCACAGCAAGTGAGATAGGCAGTAGGTGGTGAAAGCCATGTCCATCATTTGTATTCCTCCACGTTCGTGTATGACATAAGAATGCATAATTGCCATAACCACGCTAGAAGACAAGCAGGGATTGGTCTCTCGGTAGTACCTGGGTGCCTAGAACTAAGTCCTATGTTGTAAGCTTGTATATGTTAAGTACATACTAAATATGATTAGTTTATAAGTATATGTGTAATGTAGTTTCCTAAAGCTACCTATCAATTATTATTCTAACCCCTTTTTAGTCTATGGTGAATTATTATAGATTGATTAAAGAGATACAAATTATATATTTATGCTGCCGCCTTCCCTGCGGAAATATAAAAATGATACCCTTGGGAATACTCATGGGTGAAATGCTACAGCGGTATTCGTGCGCTTGCGGATTTATTTGTGAACGTAAGAAATACCAACACTTGGCAGGTGAACTTGATTTCCTTGGTCGTTTTAACCTTCTCTCTGTATCTATTGGGACCTTCTTTGGCTTGTCATCTTGTCCCCCAAGCATTGAAGTCTTCAATGCGCTCTTCTCCTTATCATCACGGTTCTTCTTCTCTTGCAATTCAATGGTGTGTTTAGGAAAAGGTTCTTCATCTCCTTGCATAGCCACAAACTCCAACCGTCCTTCATCAATGGCCAGTTGAACTTGTCTTCTGAATATGTAGCTATCATTAGTGGCATGAGAATATGAATTGTGCCACTTACAATATGCTCGTCACTTTAACTCCTCTAGCGGCGGTATGAACTGGCCTTGTGAAAATTCGTTTTGCTTATACTCTAACAAATAATCAAAGATCTTTGTTTCCTTATGTCGATTTTTAGGAACAACAGGCTTAAGGATAGAGCAAACAAATGGTTCAGACTTACAGGTCCAAGCTTATTTAGTTGTATGCACGTCAATCAGTTGATCGTCCAAAGATATAACATCATCAACTATGTTGTCGTGGGGATGATTAGACTTGACCTTTTTTTAGATCTCGGCTTTCTTGACTTGACTTTCTTTAGCTGGATCATTTTTGATTCTATATCTACGCCGAACATGTTTTTGATAACTTCAGCAATCTCGTCTCCAAGGCTTTGGGGTTTTGTACGTGTATTAATCATATGATTACTAGGAACGGTCAATGTAGGAGTCGATCCTAAAAGACTTTCCAGCTATAGCCTGGGCAGCATTGCCCTCCCAATTGGACCGACCACCACGTCCGATCTGACCGGCAATGTTGTAGCGGTTTGATCGGCCTCTACTACCAGTCTGACCGGCAGTGTCGTAGCGATCTGAGTTGTATTGTGGCGTAGGGATGAATTTAGAATTGTAGGTACTTCTCATAGGCCAATCTTGTTGTATAGGTACTGATGGTATACTATAAGCCGATGAAACACCATACATGCGCTCATTATTGTAGGAAGTAGATGCACCACCTAGGAACCGGGTGTTTAGCCGATTCTCTAACTCACCCATGCAAGCATCCATGGTTTTCTTCATGGTAGTACATAAGGTTTTCTCAAAGAAACTAAAAGAGGTAAACTGATTATTTAGACTAGCAATATTAACATCATCTATTATTTCAGCAACATTATATGCAAGAATGGAGGTATTGCTATGGTCGGTTGTTACCTTAGATGTGGTGTAGACGAACAATGAGAATTCATGTTGATTGATGACGCCTTGCCTCATCTTCCAATAGCATGAAGCCATCTTTCACTGCAAATCTTCAAGGTGAGCTTCAAACGCTCAACGATCGACTTCCGACAACTCTCTATAATCACTAGCCATGATGTTATTTTGATCTAAATTGGTGTGAGAGCACATGGTGGAAAATTAGAGTTTCAGCTATAGCAGCCAAAATAGTTCCCCAAGCGGAGTCGTCAAAAAAAGTATGTTGGCACTAGAATCGTGATGAGGACACAACTAGCTCGGATATGACCATGACTACTTTTAGAAATCTAGAAGGAATCTTGGAGCCCATGAGTACTTGTTAGAAATCTTATGGAGTCTACTTTCAGATGGTTTTGTTCTCACGTCAAAATTCCCACCGAGCTATCAGGAATCTACAAAATAAGCCACGTACCTCATCCGGTCCGAATCTGATTTAGGTTTTGGGCCTTGTAATTTTGTCGTGGGCTAAGCCCAATGGGGTGTGCGTCCTAGGGTAACCCTAGGATGTCCCAAATCATATTTATTCAGTAGCCTTCATAGTCTAGAGTCGGGTTTTGCTTAGATTATTTGTGCCATTGCAGTTTCACCGCTAGATCGGTTTGTGGAACCCCAAATTCGAGTGCTTGATCGTTCATATGCAATTGTGTTGCAATCTATCTTGTTCTTGCTTGTGTTCTTCGATTCGCATATAGCGATTAGCCTTCTCAGCAAGGTCAACCGAATTTTCGCACTGTTGATAACCAGAGGAGACGTGGTGCTGCGATTGCAAGGTTCACATCGTGTTGATCGGAAGCCGGATTGTGTGTGTCAAGTTTCCACCAATTCGAGAGTTATCAATACTTATCGGTAGATCGGGACCTAGTATCATCATCAAATCACGCCACACACCTTCAGCACATTATGTGCAACCCATAGCACCAGCCGGAGACATGCCGCTGCTGGAAAAGGTAGATGCCACTGAACGAACACCCAGGAGGGACCCCATCAGGGTGAACACACGTCGGTTTGTCCTAGGCTCGACAGGCCAGCTAGGACGTCCTCAACGCCGTAGAGACGAGTAACGATGAGCAATTGAGGGATTGAAGGATAATAGACTTGGGAACAGGTAGCATCAAGGAGAAAGATGTATAATACAGAGGATAGGGGTAATATATTGATTGGTGGTCGTCTCAATTGACCTTGGTCCCTATATTTATATTTATATTTATATTTATAGGAGAGGTGATCTTGCGTCGCTCTTTTCCCTGTTCTAGTAGGTTTAGAGAAGCTTTATGATAAGTAAACAAACACGAGGAAACTTTAATTGGATTTAGCCTCTATGCTGGACCACCCAAACACATGTGGTCTGATCGCAGTTCATTGTCTGGCCAGACTGGCCGCACAACAGCTGTCAGACCGGCCTTTGTGGAAAAGACTGGATAGTTTCAAAATTTTGCAAGAACTTTCCATAAATCCAAACTAGTACCAAATTTGAGTGTAAACGGAAGTTCTGTTTCATTTCATTGACAGAGAACACATTGACCCAAGAAAACGATCGCACCAAGTATTTCCATTTAAAATAAAAATTAAAAAATCTTCAAACTACGTTTCTTTTACTAAATCTTGAGCTTTAAAAATATCAAGATAAATTTAGAGAGTATTTTAAGTCATGTAGAATTTAAGAAAATTATCTCCATACATAATTATTAAGGAAATATATATTATAATCTCAAGCTATGCTGGCTCAGTCTTCCGGAGATGCTCATAGGGGTAGGGTGTGCGTGTGTGGTTCGTAGGGATGAGTGCGCACGCGTTATGGGCGCCTGCGTTTGTACTGTGTTTCTAGAAAAATATTTAGGAAATATTATTTCCCTGACACTTGTAATTGATTTACTAATTCTATAAATAACTTATTAATTAACTTTTAATCTCCTAAAAAATTAGGGTGTGAAATAAATGATATTGAAATCTAAGTATCTCACGGGGACATGTCTAGGATGAAATATGTACTACTTTTCAGGGCCATAGATGGGCACGTGCAACGTGCTCGATCGTGATGGGCCCTTAAAAAATGAGAAAATTCGATCCATAGCACAGAAAAAAAGCCGGTACCAAAAAATAGCACAACAAATTTTTCAGTTCGACCAGAAGCACAGGCCACGGGTTTTCTTTTGATACATAGCATTTCCGTCATATTTGTGATCTAAACACGTGAGTTGACTTGAAAAAGGACTCATTTGCCCTTCTTCCCCCAAGCAACAGGGCAATAGAGCAAATGATTTGGAGTTTGCTTCTTGACGTCCAGCTTGCCAGCGGCGTGCGAGCTCACCGTTGTCGCGGAGGGGCGCCTGGAGCGCTGGTGGCGCACCCGGCGGTGGCGTGCGTGGCGACGCGGCTGTCCCACGCGGGCACCGAGAGCGCCGTGCGCGCTGCACGCCATGGCGAGGCACTCGGCGACGCCGGCGGTGCAGCAGGAGATGTTGGCTGTCGGGGTGGTGGCGAGGCTGCTCTTCCTGGTGCAGGTCGGCATCTCCGGCGAGCAGACGAGGAGAGGGTGAGGGAGATGCTCAAGATGCACGCCACCTCCGTCCCATTGCTCTTCTTTCTGAGCTAGGGCTTCTCCGCCGCCGAGCGAGTCGAGGGAGCGGCGGATGGCGGAGTACAGCTACTATGTGCAGTGCTCCCCCGCGCCGTCGTTGTCGGCCATCGCAGCGTACACCGAGCTGGTGGCGGCCGCGAGCCGCCGCATGACGCATGGTACAGCGGCCACTTCGACGAGTTCGCGCCGTTCGAGCCGGCGACCGCGCGGAGCAGCCCGTATGTTCCACCATCCCCCCGTCGCCGCTGCCAGCAGGGAGACGAGACGATCGCCTGGCATGCCGATGGCCGCCGCGCCGCCGTCCACAAGGGAGCGGAAGAGGAGACCTGGTGGGGAACGTGGGGGAACGAAGGGTAAATGAGTCCGACGAAAATTTTCTTCACTCCGATCTAACGCCGTTACTTCAAAATGTGACGGAAGTGCTACGGGGCGAAGAAAAACCGGTGGCCTATGCTATGGATTGAAAGTGAAAACTTTTTGTGCTATTTTTTGGTACCAAGTTTTTTCCTGTGCTATAGATCGAATTTTCTCTTAAAAAATTGAGAGCCCCAAAAATTTTCATTTGTCAATCTAAGCCAATGCATCTTTAGACGTGTTTATACGTGTTTTCTTTCGCTCTGATTTGTGCTCGGTGATATGATGTGAGAATTATAGTTTATAACGATGATGTGGGTGTGCGTATTCCATTTTATAGTAAAGAACATTAAATCACTATATTAGGACAACTATTTTTCCTAACTAGGTATGAACACCCTGACACATCACTATACAATTTCTGGAATAATGCTAGCCCCCTTTGAAGTTCAGGGCCGGAACAACTTGTTCAGTTGTGCTCCGTTACTCAGCTTTGCTTAATAGAAGCAAACAGATCCTTGAGAGGACGATTGTGAGCTTCAGCTCGGGTGACAATCTCGACAACTTTGTAGGAAGATTCCTCTCGGCATAACAATGCCTCCACAGCTACTTCTGCGACTTGCTGTCTCGATATGGAGCCCTCGTAAAGTGTATCCTACAGATCGTTCAAAACAAATATCACATATCTTGTAGGAAGATAGAAATTTCAACATAATACAATTGTATCAAATGAAAACCTTCTGAGGAGCGCATAAATTACATCAGATGTCCCTATATTAGTAGCAGTTTATTAGCCAAGTTGCTAAAAGGACTTTTCGGGCATGTTTCTCAAAAATAAAATAATTGGGCCATTTGATGCCCAAACTAAAAAAAAATGATAATGCCAAAATTTTGGTAAAGATATACCAAATCACAAGCACCATGTTTTACCAAATTCTTGGCATTGACCAAATTTTAGCTAAACATAAGGTTCAAATTGGCAATGAACCAAAGAACTCGTTTTGTCATTTTACCATTGGTTGAATATGATTAACAAACAGTGATGCACTGATGTGGAATGACACATAGGGACATAGTATGGCAATACATGTGGCAATACATCGCGAAGACAGAATAACATGCCATAAAACATACTAGCACACACTATAGATGTGGCAATACATGTTTCATGCCATATATACGTGTAACTAAACAATATTAATTCCATGAAAGAAACAAAATTCATCCGTCCCAAAATATAAGAACTTCTAGCATTGAAATTTGTCTCAAAATATAAGGACTTTTGGCTGCATTCGTTTCCACAATTGGGAACTAATCCCTCCAACACGCAAAACGGAGCAACTCATTAGCAAATAATTAATTAAATATTATCTAATTTTTTTAAATAGATTAATATGAATTTTTAAAGCAACTTTCGAATAGAATTTTTTTTTTACAAAAAAAGCACCATAATATTTTAAAAATCGTGCGCGCGGAAAACGAGAAAGATAAGTTGATAAAGGAGGGAGAAGAACACAGCCCTAGAGTACTACTTCCCCACCAATCACTTTCCGACTCTAACCACCCATCATTTAATGAAGGCATCATAGTCTTTTACCTTTATCCTTAATCTCTCCAAAAGAAACTAGAAGTTCTTACGTTTTCGGATGGAGGGAATAACAGAAATATGATGATAATAGCTTTGCAAATTCACAAACATCTTAAGAAAATTTAAACTAGATCCAGGTGACAACCAGAACTTGATGAAAGCGTTAAGACGCAAATTTTATTTTACCTCTGGCTCCATGACTATATTCCCTGTTGGTGGTTGTTCAGTCAGGCCTCCAGGCCTTATAATGGTGTAATTTATTCCTGATGACCTGATATGTTTCTCCGCCTGCAGCTTTGCGACCAGCACTAAACCAAACAAGTTGAGCACAGTATATGCTGGATTCAACAGTTGACCCATCGCAGCCCCATTGACCAAAATGGAACTTACGAGTATGAATCTTGTAACCCCAGCCTTGCGGCATGCTTCAACAAGGTTTACTGTGCCAAAGTTGTCCACCTGCAATAAGCAAAATCTTCAACTGGCTACCGCTTGTAAAACTAAAAGAGCACAACTGCATTCACAAGTAACATGACAAGTAACAAGGTAACAAATGTGCATAATTGTCATAAGTTGAAGGAATTTCTTTCTTATCAAAAGTGAGAGAATTTTCTTTAAAAATTTTTGGCATTGAAGATGCTTTTTGGATTTGCTTCACAAAACACCACAAACCATTTGTTGTTTGCCAATGATTTTCATCAAGGGGTGAGATTGTAGAATCAAGGAGTTGATTTAGATTTTGTGATGAAAATATTGGTGGTTTGCTAATGTTAATTTAGAGATTTTATAAGATGGTTGATTTTGTGAAGTGTGCTGTTTCAGTTGACCCTGGCGGTCAGACCGGCTGAGTGCCCCGGTCAGACCGTAGGTGTTGCGGCGGTCAGACCGGCCGGCCCAATGGTCTGACCGGCAGGATCCTGATCGATGTCGGTTTCGGGTTCTTTTGTTGAATTTGGATATATCCTTCGGGGATTTGGCTTCTAGATGGTTTCTATGCGTAAGGATACTGTTGTTATACTAATGTGAGTCAAGTTGGGACGAACTTGGGCTCGGAATATGGTTTCTTGGTTGTTGCATGTGCAGGTGTTGCTTGAGGCCTCAGGAGAGTGTTGCCGGTGATAGATCGGAGTCAGCTTGGGAGAAGTTGATGTCCAGGGATCATGAGATCATGCAGGATACTAAAGGCTAGAGGTCAATGCACGTGGTGATGAAGAAATCCATATGGTATACAAGAGGGATTGTGTACATATGGAAAGAGGAGTCGAATTTGGAAGGGAGTCCGAATTCGGAAAGTTTGATTGAGATAAGGAAAGAGATAAGATGTTTACTTGCAAGAGAGGGTTTCCTACGTAGTTAGGAGTCCTAAGTTGTGTTAGATTCGTGGTCTTTGCACAGCCTACCTCATGTATAAATAGAGAGGGAGGGTGAGGCCTCCCGGTATCGAGTTTAGAGAGACTAGAGTTGAGAGAAAGTTAGGGTTTCGAGTTTAGTTTGAGATTTTGGTGAGGAGTGCTGTTGGTACACTTTGTAAACACTAGTTGATGCAATAAAGTCGAAAATTTTCAATCTACATCTTCGAGTTTGTCATCTACCAGTATTTCTGTGTCCCGACGGTCTAACCGCAGGTGTGCCTGCGGTCTGACCGATGAGATAGCGGCGGTCTAACCGTAGGTGTCTGGGCGGTCTGACCGGTGAGGCTTCGGCGTTCTGACTGGCGGCAGGCAGGCGGTGTCACTGGTGGCGACAGGGCTTCGACGTCTACTTCGTTCGAGGGTAATCATTAATTCCACAAAAGATTTTGGGTTTTTGGTTTTCCCTACCATTCACCCCCCCCCTCTGGTAGGTTTGTTGGTCTTGTGTGATCCTACAAGTGGTATCAGAGCCACGTTTTTCTATTTGATCTTTACCGATCTTTAGATTTGTTGCCATGGCTGAAAAGTTTTCAAGCAAACCTCATATTTACAATGGAGTTGATTTTTTATTATTGGAAGAAAAGGATGGAGTCTTATATTACATCTCAAGGCTATGATATCTGGATGAAAGTTGCTAGAGTTTATGAGATTCCTGAACGTATTGAAACTATTGCCCAGAAAACTGATTTTGAAAACAATTGCAAAGCACGAAATATTCTTCTTAGTGGGATTTCTCGTTCTGATTTTGATCATGTTTCACATCTTGCAACTGATAATGAGATTTGGAAAGCTTTGAATAATTTTCATACTGGATCTACAAACATTAAGGAGTTGCGAAAAGATGTTTTCAAAAAGGACTATTTAAATTTGAGATGAGTTCTGGTGAATCTTTGGATGATTATTTGGGCCATTTCAATAAAATTTTGAGTGATCTTGGATCTGTTGATGATTCTTATGATGTTAACTATTATCAATCTGAGATTGCTCGTCTCTTTATGAATGATCTTGATATGAGAGTTTGGGATGTTAAAGTGACTTCTATTCAGGAATCTGTTGACATGAACACTTTGACTTTGGATGTTCTTTATACTAAATTGAAAACCTATGAGATGAATATTCTTTCAAAAAGAACAGATTCGAAATCTACTGCTTTGGTGTCTTCATCTGGATCTTCTTTGGATACTTCTCCTAAGGATGTACTTGCTGTTTTTAATGCCTTGTCCAATGATCAACTAGCTGAAATCAGTGAGGAGGACTTGGTTTTGGTTGCTAACAGATTTTCTCGAGCTATAAGTAATGTCAGGCACAGGAAAAGAGGAGGACCACCTCGTTGCTTTCATTGTGGAGGACTTGGTCATCTTCGATCTCATTGTCCCAAGCTTGGAAGGAGTCCAAAGGAAGAACCTCAAGATGATACCAAGAACACCAAGTTGAACAAGAAGCAATTCAAGAACATGAAGATGAAGAAGTTCTATTAGAAGGCGCTTGATGAAGCATTTGCAGCTGCCCAAGAATCAAGCGATGTTGAATTTGAGAGTGATGAGGATGATGGCAAGGGGAACAAAGGCAAGAATGATGTTTGTCTCATGGCTAGAAGCGTGGATGAAGATTCTGATTGTGATAATGAGGTAACTCAAATTCCTAGTGTTGAATATCTTCAAGAAGCTATTGCTAGACTTGGTTATAAGATTTCTAGATTTGAGAAAAAGATTAATCAATATGAAGCTACTATTGAATTTCTTAATGCTGAAAATTCTAGAATAAAATCTCTTGTTTATGATAATGATGAGTGTAAATCTTGTGAGGTTTTATTTGAGGAAATTGAAGCTGTTAGAGATGTTAATAGGTCTCATGTTAAAAAGATTAAGAAATCTGAATCTTGTCTTGATATGAGCTTTGCCATGAACACTAGATTGGTTGATGAATTGTTTTTGACAAAGAGAGCTTTGAATAAATGTCAAATTGCCTTGTTTGCTAGTTCGATGTTTAATGTGATTAGCTCTAAAAGGATTAAACAATCTAGTGAAAAACCTTGTTTGACATGTGTTGCTAATGAGATGAAACAAGCTCCAAGGACATGGTATGATAGATTGAAAAACTTTTTGCTTGCTAAAGGTTTTACAATGGGAAAAGTGGATAAAACTCTCTTTGTTCTTAAGCATGGTGATGATCAACTTTTTGTTCAGATTTATGTGGATGATATCATCTTTGGTTGTCCATCTTACCCTTTGGTTGTGGAGTTTGCTGAGACTATGCGTAGGGAATTCAAAATGAGTATGATGGGAGAGTTGACTTACTTTTTGGGACTTTAAATCAAGCAAATGAAGCAAGGTACGTTTGTGCATCAAATGAAGTACACCAAGGATCTCTTAAGGCGCTTCAAGATGGCGGATTGCAAGCCAATTTCTACACCGATGGGATCAACCGCTGTGTTGGATCCGGATGAAGATGGTGAAGTTGTGGATTAAAAGGAGTATAGGAGCATGATTGGATCTTTGCTCTATCTCACTGCTTCTAGACCGGACATTCAATTTGCTGTGTGTTTGTGTGCTCGTTTTCAAGCTTCTCCACATGCTTCACATCGTCAAGCTGTTAAACGCATCATGAGGTATTTGCAACATACTCTAGAATTTAGAATTTGGTATTCTACATCATCTTCTATATGTTTGAGTGGTTATTCGGATGTGGATTTTGGTGGGTGTAGAATTGATAGGAAAAGTAATAGTGGAACATGTTATTTTCTTGCTACTTCTTTGATTGCTTGGTCTTCTAGGAAACAGTCTAATGTTGCTCAATCAACTGCTGAGGCTGAATATGTTGTTGCTGCTAGTTGTTCTCAGATCCTTTGGCTTATTTTAACTTGTAGAGATTATGGTCTTACTTTTGAGAAAGTTCCTCTTCTTTGTGATAACACTAGTGCTATTAATATTGCTAAGAATCCTGTACAACACTCACGCACGAAGCACATTGATATGCCATTGATATTCGCTATCATTTTTTGAGAGATCATGTTGAGAAGGGAGATGTTGAATTGGCTTTTGTTGATAGTTAATTGCAATTTGCAGATATTTTCATGAAACCGTTGGATTCTTCTCGATTTGCTTTTCTTTGTTCATCCTTTTGGCATCAATTGAGGGGGAGTTTTGGCTCTTTGTTGCATTCATGTTTTCTTTTCTTCTTTTGATTTTTCTTTTTGCATACATGTTTTATTCATGCATGGTGTGATAAAAAAATGAAAAACATAAAAAAATAAAAAATTGAAAAAGAAGAAGAGCTTTGTTTGTGCCTTAGTATATTCCGGTATATGCTAGCAATACATGTTAGGTGATGTGATGACTAGACTAGCTTGTGTGCATGTTAGTTTTTATATGAGCTTTTGATATTGTCTTTAAGTGATTTGATACATGACATATAATTTTTCACTTGAATTAAGTAAACATGCAATATTGATGCTAGCATATGGTTTGATTTTTAAATGCTTTATATATATGATGTATTGAATTATTATTCCTCAAATAGCTTTGTAATTACTCATTGTGCAAGAGAATAAAAAATCTATAAAAAATTGAATACCGAAATCCTTGGCAATAGTCTTGGGACAAGGACGTATTCGATGTGAGCAAAAATAATGGGTGCCGAATCCTTGGAAACAGTCTTGACGACAAGGACGTACCCGGAATAAATAAATAAAAAGAGCAAAAAGGCTCAAATCAAAGTGAAAAAAAATTCTTTTGATTGTTTTTGTGCTAAAGCTAATTTGAGAAAGAGTGATAAATGCAATAGGTATATATGTATAGTGTTTATTTTTCAACCTAGGTGCTTGTGAATATATTGCATTATAAATCGTTTGAAGTCATGAATCTTTAGTGTTGATTTGATCTTTTTGACAATATCTTAGGTTCATGTTTACACTTCTATGCATGCTTGTTAACTAGATTGTCATGTCGTCTACCTTGTTGATGCAACACATGTTCTTGAATTACTTTTGGTATAGCAAAGCTCTCCGGAAAAAAAAATGTTGATGAACTCATTGTCAAAAGGGGGAGA